TAAAAGTTTAAAGTAAAAGTTAATTGAGATATATCACATGGATTACATAAGATAAAAATTATTACCCATAAAGGGAAAACTGAGGGGGTCTTAGAATTAAAAAGCATATATATGATAACCAAAAACACCCAGTGTCCCCCAAATAGTCAGTTTCTTCCAACATAGTTATTATTTGAAACATTATTATTTTTGGGAGGCTATTTTAGAACATTGTGCCACATTAAGTAAAATATGAATGGTCATAAATACAAAAAAATGCAGAAAACGAAATTTTAAAAATCAATGACAGTGTTCTTAAGACTTCTATACTTCTATTAAAATTCTGTTTTTTTCTTTTTTCATTTTCATTGTGTAATAATTTTACACTGGATAGTAGCTCTAGATTTTCCACTAACTGGTGTCTCTCTTTTTTTTTTTGCATAGTTAATTATTTAATGCTTATTCATAGTTCTTATTTTCTAAGCTCCTCATCTTTTCTATTCACTTGTGAATTCTAAAGTTATTAAATTGGCCCTTAAAAATGTGGCCATCAGCAAAGAAAATAAATATCACCTAAACTCTTTCCATTCAATATATTTATTCTTTTTACATTGGTTGATGTGATCCCTTGGTAGTCTAGTCAGTACATTTGCATAATAATAAGCAATCAGTAAATGGCATAGTCTAACTCAGCTATTCTCTTTAAACATTTCTATTCATTGTTCAATTTTTAAAATGCTTTATAATTATTTTTGTTTGATATTATTCACAATAAAACTGTGAGCTAGGTCAGCATTAAATTATCAAGAATCTGAGCCTCTCAGAGACTCCATGTAATTAAACTTTTATATTGCTCCAAGGAAGAAAAAACTAGCAATTTCGTCACTTCATAAGGTCACACTAAATGATGGAACATCCCTAAGGTCTACAAAGATAATATTGATTAAACAGAACATTAGTTTGAGGTTTACCTGAAAGGGTGGAGGTACAACAATTGTTGATTCCAAGCAGGACTCTGGAGTACTCTGTATATGGATTCAAATTGCCATAAAAATCCCTAAAGCTAAATTTCAGAAAGATTTCCTCACAATTAAAATGACTCAGCTTTCCCATCTCAGCTATACAATCAAATTAATTCTTAGATAAAAGTTTCTTCTTTTGCGTGTTTTGAATCTAACTCCACATACATTCTTTGGACCATTGTCCAAAAGTTTAGGCTTTTGACACATTACTTAAGAATCACTTAATATTACATCAATATTGAAATACCCTGTGCTATGGCTTCTAAAATATCTCCTTCCTACCTGGGTGCCTTCACTTTCTTTTTTAAATAGTTTTTTGGGGGTTTTTTTTATACAGATACCTCTTATACCAGCTTTCCCTGGCGGCTGATGCTCTGTAAGGTGAATATTTTGACTATCTTCTCAGTCTGTTCTCTTGCCAGATGATCTTTTCAATCACAACATCTTTCAGCCACACTTCAGCTCTGAGATCTTTCAAATATCTGCTCCACCAACCTGTATCATTCTTCTGACACAAATACCCATGATGCCTAATATACATATTCCATGGATATTGCATAGTCACTGTAAACTTTACATAGCAAAACCTGCTTTTCATTCAGCATCTTAGTAAATGGACCCATCATCCACTTAGGCAACCAAGCCAAAACTCTTCGGGTCATTCTAGAATGTTTTAAGACTTGCTTCTCCATAAAATAAGCCTTTATGCATTTCTTCAAAATATTTATTGAGGAACTACTATGTACAGATTTTAAGCCAGGTGCCAGGCATACTACATTAAGCAAGATAAACATTATCATAGTCTTGTAATGTGCATTCCAATTTAATATAGAGAGGTAAAGAGGCTATTTATGCTGTACCCTAATTGGAAAGGCATCCTAGGTTTTAATAATATCTAACCTATAGAGCTATAAGTCATAGTTCTGCAAATAGAGGTCAAAAGAACAAAAGTAACTTAAGTTTTTTTAACCATGTATCTGCCCTCTCTTCTCATTGCCATTTATTTTATTGCAGTCATCCTTACTTTTCTTCTGGGTTGCCATAGTAACTCTATAAACAACTGTCAGTCCTCTCTAGTTTCTGTTTTATTCAACCACTGCAACGTTGCCAGAATGTTTTATCTAAAATTCCAAGCTATGGCTGGGTATGGTAGCACAAGCCTATAGTCCTAGCTCTTGGGAGGCTGAGGCAGGAAGATTGCCATGAGTTTGAAGCCAGCCTGGGATATGTAGTGAGTTCAAGGCCAATCTGAGCTATATAGTGAAACCCTGTCTCAATGCCAAAAATGTAAAATTCCAAGCTAACTACAATCTTTCCACCTTTAACTTTTTCTGCTGAACATAATCTAAAGCCTTAAAATGGCCCAAGTCTTTATCAGTGAAGCCTCCTCTCTGTTTTTAATTCCTCCACACATCTTCGCTGGTGTGGCTATTCTAATCTCCTTGCCAATCTCCATCTCAAGCAGCACTCTCATAGGTGAATGCCTCAAAATATGCTTAGCTCTCCACCAGAAGCTATCCTTTCAATCACAGTAACTTACGCTTAACCTTAGACATTTGTTTCAGGCACGATTCTCTTCCTAGGAGTCACTGTAGTCAGTCTAGTGCCGAGTTCTCTGCACTCATTTTATTCTGTCCACATTCCCTCATTTCCCTGATAGAATCAGACTGCAATCATAAATTTGTCTCTCTTGCCTGACACAGCTTTTGAAGGGTAGGGATCCTTTTTTGTTCACTTGATTACATATTTTTTATTTCTATAGTTGTTCCTTACATGTAGGAATCTTTTTCCTCAAATGTCATGTTATAAAGTTCCACCCAGCTCAGAATGGAAAATGTTTCCCTAACTTGAGACCAAGACTCTTCCCTATCTGCTCGAAAAACCATTGAAAGTATCTAGTGAGATACTTTCTTGCAAAGAAAAGTGGTAGTCTTACATTTTATTAAAATTCAAGACTCCTTCTAGAAGCATATTTTTAGTATTCAATAGAAATAATATTTCCTTACTTGAACTTAATATTTTAAAATAAGAATTAATATTTGTCTATATATGTGGTAAGAAAATTGCTACATATGTTTTCTCTTACCCAAGACAATGTACAAAGAGTCTTATAAAAAAAAAACTGGTATTTCTGGGAGGTGTATGTGCTGCCTACCCCATTGCTGCAAATGTGCCAGATGTTTTTTTTTAATTGTATGAATTTAAGGTGTACAAGGTATATATAAGGTTTCACTTATATATCCACAGAGCCACTTATTTAATATATGTGTCCAAGATTTCCTAAAATCTACTCTCAACACATTTTTAGTACATAATATTAGTAACTACACTCCCACTACTATATATTAGCTCACTATGCTAATTTCTCTTAATCACATTCAGATATTTATCATGTCCTGTTTGAAGAATGAATAAAAATAATCCTTTTGATTCTGCTGCCAGTATACCACTAAACAGTTTTCACAAATTCAACTATTTTTATGACTCTCCCTGATTTCTTGGCTTGTCCATCAGAGCCAACCCCTCTCTCTTTAAAAGATAAACTTTGCTTAGTTTCCACACACAGAATCATTCTAGTTCTTTGGCCTCTCTGGCTTTTCCTCAGTTGGTTGTTTAGTGAATTGTTTAATGAAAATATTAAATAATCATGCCTTAAGGGTATTTCCTTTCCTCTAACCCATTTATCATCTTGGCCCTCTCATGCAAACCAAATTCCCCACATTTTTTATAACTCCACAATAACAGATGCATGGGAGTAATTTCATTTCAATAGCACATGTAAGAATATATTTTGATGAGCATAGTGCCTACAGTAACATTGAACATAAGGAAGAAAAAGGAAAGAACAAACCATAGGATAATTTTAGAAAAAAATAATTTATCGGACACATAGCATTAAAAGGATGTTTTATGATTATATAATCCCTATAGAGACAGGGTAATGTGGAGAATAGGGAAATTTAAATGTTATTTTGTTTTGTAAACTGTACACAGTGATTCAGATCAATGAAATATAAAATATTCATATATATTCAAATATAAAATCATTCATGCTTGTGTGATCTGGTCTTAACCCACAGAAGAGGATATTTGTGCATTTACCACCACAAAAGTTGTAGCATCCTCCCTCGGGCAAAAGAGCTTAAATGTCTGGTAATGTGAACTAGCTTGCTTAAAAGAGGATAAAACATCAAATCCTCAGGCAAGGAGACAATTTAGGAAGCACAGTGCCTTAGCAAACTCAGAAATTAATCCAGATGAAGACATTTCACTTTTAGAATCTGTGTCAGAACCATTTGTACAGCTCAATCTTAGAGGTTGGCTTGTGTTCCGAAGGACACTTTTAAAAACTGCAGAGCTCAGTCACCAGCAAGGGTAAGTATTTTTTAAATAATGAAACTGGGACTGAAATGGCTTTAATTTCATCTAACATTACATTCTAGAAATTTAGATATATCTAAAACATATTCCTGTCTTTTTATAATTTATACAAAGTTACTTCTTTATGCGTATGTTTAATCCCCAAATTTTATCCAGACCACAAATGGTCTGTTATATAAGTCACTCACTGAAGTCCCCAAGTCTCTAAAGCAAACTGGAGAATTTAATTGACACTTTATTGCTACATACACCTGTTTGATCTAAAGAAACAAGATAGTGATTTTTTTTTAATCCTTCAAAATTGTGTACTGAGACAGATCCATAAATAGATTACATAAATGAAATACATTAAATTTAACAATTCTATGCATTAAAACAATCAGACAAAACAATCACAACCTAATCTGCATTGCTCACTGTTGAGCATGCAATTCCATTTTATGGACACACAATATAGATGATTGTAAGTTTCTTGGTAGCATATAACTGGGGTTTGTCTTAAATATTTTTGGTTGGGAAATAAACTTCATCTCTTTGGCATATTTTCATCTCTTACAGAAATATTTCATGTGATCTTCATGACTTAGAAATTCTCTGAAAATTATAACGCGACCTTACCTTGCTTCCATTTTCTCTTGTCTCTCGTTCCATCTTGAGGTCAGAAATTAGAATGTTCTTGTATTTGCTTTTCCCATTGCTGCCGTGGTCCTCCAGTCTGTATTCGGAAGTCAGCTGCGCAGAGAGGGGGCTGTCACTCAGGTTCAGGGGCTGCTCATCCTGTTCTAGCCCAGCTTTGCCATCGCTGTTGGCCTCTCCCATCTCCCTGCTGTGTGTTCCCCCTGAAGCAATTGAACTGTGCCCCAGCGTCTCATTGCCATTAAAGCTCTCTGCAGCAGAATCATCTGTGGAAAGGAAACATTTATATTTTGATTTTAATTAATGTACTACTTTAGCACTTACTGAGCATCTATTATGTGTGCGGCATCGTGCCAACAAATGTTATACGTAAGGTATAATAATGTGAGGCAGCTAGTGTTATTTTTAATTTAGTAGGCACATGACAGAACAAGAAGTGAAACAAAATAATATGAAGAAGATAAACATTTCAGTATCAGATACAATCTCAATGTAAATTCAACAAAGAATAGCACAATCATCAATTAGTTGGGAAGTAGATTTTTATTTTTCAATGAGCCTATCCATATTTGATAAAAAATCCCTTAGTAAGTTGCATCACCTATCTTGTTCAATAGACATATACCTTGGATTAAGCTACATGAGTATTTAATGCCCACCAAAACATCAAAAATAATCTTTGCTTCAGTCATTATGTTTATTTGACTTTTAAGCCCATGAAGTTTAATCATTGTGTATATCACTGTGTAGACAAAAATACACTTATACCAGTGCTGATTCAAGTAAAAAAAGTTACAAGGGACATAAACTAATAAAAGTAGAAGACTAGGTTAGTAAATGTTGGAATAGTTAGAATATTACTATAGTTATTCACACTTCCTTTAAGATGTAGGAAAACATGAGCCAAGAAAGTAAAGAATGGGAAAAAGTTATCTTTTCCGTGGCTAATATGTTCTCAATTTTGTAAGAAGAAAATAGCCAAAGTTTACATAAAACCGTAACACTCTATTTTTCTTTTTTTTTTCTCTCATTGAGTTTATTGGTACATTTTAGGTACATAGTACACTTACACGCATTATTGGGATCTCGTACCTTTACCTGACAGGTCTTGTTTCTCATTTTTCCCCTTGTCCCTGCCCTCCCTTCACCCCTCCTCCCCTCCCCATTTACAAACACTTTATTTCCATTTTTTCATTTTATCATATATTTTTCCCTTATTACCTTTCCCCTACCCTTTCCCACTTTCCTTACTCCTTTTAGCCCTTTTCTTCCTATTTTCTTAATTTCATCTTCACCTGTATGATAAGAATTTGCTACTAAAATGGACCAAGGTACTAAATTGTTAGACTATTAATGAAGCCATAAGAATGTATGCAAACAAATAATTGTGTTTAACGTGATATTTTTTAGTTTTATTTCTGAATATGACCAAGTATGCATTTTGTGGATAATGTCTTCAAGTCAATTACATTCAGGGAAATATTTAAATTCTAAAGGAGTAACATGTCACTGCTCATATGTTTCTTCAACAAAAATTAACTTTCTACCCTGTAGCCAATACACAGTTAAATATTTAGCTTATAGAGACTGTCTTCCATGAGTTAGTTCACAGATGATTAAAAGAACAAGAAAAGTGATTAAAGTGCAGCGCAGAGACTATGACCCAGTACAAGGGATAAAGAATCACTGAAGGACATCTAAGGGAGGAGTGAGAACTGAATTCTAAGACATGTGAGCCTTAGCCAGGTGGGGAAGTTGGGAAAAGTATTCTTTTCAGAGGGATCTGAGTGCAAAATCTCAGCTGAAAGGACACACAGGCTCCACAAGCAGTAAGATTCAGGTGCCCAAAAGAAGAAGAAAAAGGACAAACCTAGAAAGGGAGGAAGAGACTAGAAGGGAGGAAGAGACTGTCCCATGAAGGGTTCCTATGTATCAGAGCTTGGACTCTACGAGCCAACAAGAGCAATTCTAATTCATTGTGGGAAGTGACTTAGAAAAATATACCTTAAAGAGATCACTTCCGATTGATGAGGATAGAGACATGCAGCGAACAAAATGAAAGTTGGAAAAATCAATGAAAAGCTCCAGAACTTTCTGAAGTTGGCCTTTTTGAAATTCAAATTGAAGCGGTGGTCTCACAGGAGAGAGGACAACCAGAAGTACATAGACCAAGTAATGGAAATGAGAGAGGTAATAGCCTAGCACAAAGCCAAGAGCTCCAGTAGGGAAGCAAAGTGAATTAACTTTAATTTTCAATGAAATTATTAAAACAAATTTTCAAAACTTGCACAAAAGTTAAAACATATTCAAACAGCACAATTCTGTTAAACTGCTCTTTTTATGTACCCATCCAAGAGTTCATATAGAGAGAAAACATACAAAGGAAATTTTAGGAAACATGTCATAACTATGACATAGCAGTTTCCATCAGTATGAATTTGGGAAATCAAAACTAATCAGGGAGGCTGAGACAGGAAGAGCACAAATTCTCAGCCAGCCTGGGCAACTTAGCTACTTGGTGAGATACTGTCTCAAAATAAAAAAGGGTTGGCTGGAGATGTAGCTCACTACGAAGGTCTTGGGTTCAATCACCAGTAATGGGTGGAGGAGGAAGTTTCAACAATGAAATGTGAGGGGATTTTGAAATGCAAAATTAGTGGAATGATTTGGATGAATAATTTGGAAAACTGTGTACTCTCTGTTACTTTAGCTGAAGTCTTTGTGCTAATATGTGACAAGTTATTTCTAATTTTTAAGTTATTCCTTTCTAAGAAAATCCAAGGTAAAGTACAATAGGCTTAATAAAATATAATTATTTAATTCATGAAGGAAAATATCACTTAAAACTTATGTACTAGAATTCTCTTTAAATACACTAAACATTTATATAAGGACGCTTTATCAAAATAGCATAAATAACCCTATATAGCATAAATAACCCTAAATATATGTACATAAAATATTTTAAAACCTACATTAGCATAAAACAAATTCAATTTCTATGATGGTTAAAAATTAAACATGCTGTATCTATTCTTTTAATGAAATCACTATGTACATTTACCCAGTAAATACTATATCATTTATTTATTTTAGGTAAAATAAACGTTATCATTTATCAAGAGAAGTTTTTCATAAATGTCATTTACTTATAATTTCTGCATAAAATGTAAACAATAAAGGAGAAATAATTTTAGATGGAGTATTTCACTCCAGATGTTGCCAAGGTAACTAAATTCAACAGTTTTACATATTTCATTCCTGAGTAAATCAGTATGTTTTATACAGAACAAATAAGTGATTTATGTTTGTTTATATCAAATATATATTCACCAATTTTGTAATTGAAATAGTAAAAAATAATGTCTCATGCTACCGCTTTATAAATAGTAATTTAAAACAAAGTCTTTTTTGTTATTTTTATTTTAAAAATTCAATATAGAGCAGCTAGTAAACATTGAAAGGAGAATAAACTGACACTTTTATGTTGGCTGGTTTCATGTAATTACATTAGTGATTTTTTTCTTTTCCTTAAAGGTAGATCTTTTAGAATTTAAAAATCACAGACCTCAGCCTCCTTTTTGTAACACCCAATTCACATCGATTCACTGCTTTAAAGGGGCGGTCTGCTTTCTTACCCAATACAATTTGCTCCATCCTGAGAGGCTCCTCTTGTGGGTACCAGGCTGCTACACAGTGGGGAGAGGTTTCTATCTGTGGGAAGGGCGTTCAGGTCCACAGGCCCAGAGCGATGGTTCTCCTCTCCAGAATTCAGCCTGGGTACTATAGCATTTGAACCAAAGACTATATTTGAGCCCCAAAGAAAAACAGCACCTGGAGCTGGAGAAAATAAGAGCGCCCAGGGTACCTAGCAACAGGGGAGAATGTGAAATGTGATGACAGGGTAGTGTGGAGTCCAGTGACATGAAGAGGGCCGTCGGATGTTTCGATTGAATTTATTCTGAGGATAGTACTGACGGGGTGGAGTTAATGTTTTAGTGACTAATTGTGCTGAACTAGCTCTAATGAAGCTCTCTCTAGCTTAACGGGTCTGGTAACAGTAAGAGACAGACCGCTCATTTTATTTTATTTTTTCTCCTTCTCTACTCATTTCCCCTATCCATTAATAGAGATCTCAGAAATGCAACATTTAAGCTATTTTGACCATTCCCACCAGTGTGTTGTGTGAAGACAGTTTTAACAGCATCAGATTTGATGGCTAGCTCTCTCTGTAGCAGGATATATGGTGTGTGTGTGTGTGTGTGTGTGTGTGTGTGTGTGTGTGTGATATCCCAAAACATCTGACCCACTTTTTCTCTCAGTCACTTTCAGTAGTTCATCTTCCTCTGCATTATGGCCTTTAGGACAAGTGCCTTGGGCAAAACAGATAGGAAAAATATATCATTCTCATTTTAAGGGTAGTACTTGGAACTTTCGTCTTAACATCCAGGTCAGATACTAATAGGCTCCCCAAGTATTTTCTCTTTCCCAAATGTAGAATAACCCTTTACCACTTCTATTAATTCTTAAGAAACTTATTCCAAAAATATATATAGCATGGTAATATGAGAAAATGTAGAAAAAAATTAAAAATTTATTTAAAGTAAAGATGTCAGGCGCAGTTCCCTTCTATGCTTTCTGATCTATGCTTATGTCTTCTCCCAAATATAGTGCCCGCTACTATAAAAAGTGGATGCCTGTCCATTTCAGGACTACATCTTACAACTTATACCGTAGCTCCTCCCTCTGTTCCACAGCACAGGCAGCTGATCTTTTGGACTGACCTTTTGAGTACTTCCACCCAGACAGACACTGCCGGCAGTCCCATGCTCTGACCCATTTCTGTCATTTCTGATCCACCCGGAAGTGGTTTTCTTTGTGGTTTCCTGTCCATTCTTTGACTTTCTATTTTACTTATCATCTATAATATGCTTTTTAGCAATTATGAAGCCCTGTTCTCTACATTATCTTTTGTTATTTCACACCCAGAACTATCAACAACTGACTGCAAAAGTCCTATAATTCCAAGATCTGGAATTCTAAAAAAAAAAAAAAAAAAAAAAAAAAAAAAAAAAAATCAGTAATGAAGAATGCAATCTCATTTTTGTTTATATTTGCAAAATATACTTTGGATTCTGTATTATTTGGCAATGTGATCTTAAACTTGAATAAAAGAACGGTGACTCATCTTGAAGTCAAACATACATACCAAGGAGTTTACTGATGTAAATAAATACACATATGTATTTCATATCACTAACAGTAA